ATCAGGAGGCTGAGGCAGGAGGATTGCTTGAGCCCAGAAGTTTGAGGTTGCTGTGAGCTAGGTTGACACCACGGCACTCTAGCCCTGGCAACAGAGTGAGACTGTCTCAAAAAACAAACAACAAAAAAAGCAAATGCAAGATCTGAATAGCTGGATACAGAGAAAAGGTATAAAAGAGGAGGGAAATGAGTTACTAAAAGCAAGGAAATAGGACCAAGGAAAAAGTCAGTTATGCAATTTTGACAGGGCATGCATAACGTGTTTTCATTGTTGTTATGGGGGTTTTCTTTTCTTTACACAAACGGGATCATGCTATAAGCCCTGTTCTATAACTTGCTTTTCCCATGTAACAAGTCTTGCAGGTCTTGCCATGCCAGTATATAGAAATCTATCTTTTTCTTTTGATCTGCTACAGAGTAATCCATAGCATGGGTATATCATGGACTAAAAGCTGTTCCCTACTGATGGACATTTAAGCTGTTTTAATTTTTTGCTGTCACAAGAAATGCTGTACTGAACATCTTTGCATATGTCTGGAAGTATTGTTGAAGGATAGAGTCCTGAAAGTTTAACTGCTGAGCCAAAGGAATGCACATTTTGTTTAAAGTGCAGATAAAAGTTATTTCCATTGCTTTAACATTTTTATAGACTGGCTACAAATAAAGATTATTCCTACTCATATAATCCTGTCTTTATTTTGAGAAGCATATATCATGCAATATTTTTTTTTTTTTTGAATCTTCTTCTTTCCTTCTCTTTTGAGATGCAACCTTTTAATTAAGAGTTGGTAGAGAATGACATCCTACAAGGGCATGTGATAAAGAGTTGCACCATCTGGCTTATGTTTGCAGTTCGGATTGGGATGTTTTAGAAAAGGCCTCTGGCTGGCCAAGTTTGGATCTTTCTAGTAGTAAAAGCTTAGAGAAATCTACCTCCACGATATGGTTCTTAGCTTCGAAGAATACATATATTTAAGACTCTGGAAGTAACTGACAAATTTGCCCCCCAAAAATTGTACCAATTTGTACTCCAAACAAGGCATCTAAGATGTTCTCTTTCCCCATAACTCTTCCAATCTTTTTAATTTTGGTACCTAAAAATAGTTCTTTATTGTTGTTTTAGTTATATTTCTATTTTTTTAACACCTACGTAGAGCATGATCATTTCTTTAACTATTAGTAAGCTTGAACATCCTCTCTCATTTATTAGCTAATTATCTGTTTCTCCCCTGAATTGTTAAATCATGTTATTTCTCCATTTTAAATGGGTTGTATATCTTTTCCTTATTGATTTCCAGGAGATGATATAGATATAGAAAGAGATATTAATCTTTTGCCTGTTATCTACGTAGCAAATACTTTCTCCTAGCCCATTGTTTATGTTTTAACTTTAAGTATAGTATCTTTATCCCTACAGAAGTTTCTAATATTAATATAGCCAAAATTATTACTCTTTATTTTATAGCTTCTGGGTTTTTAAGTCATGCTCAGAAAGGCCTTCTCCACCCTAATATTATAAAAATATTCTGGATTTTCTTCTGGTACTTTTACAGTTGTATTTTTTTATATTTGTTTTTGTATATGGTAGGAATTGAACTTAATTTTTCTCCCAATGTGTAGCCAATAGTCTTATCCCATTTACTGACTCCCCATTGATTTGAAATGTCTTCTTTGGCATAAATTAAATTCCCATATGAATATGAGTTTGTTTCTAAACTCTCTATTTTGTTTCATTTATGTATTCCTCTATTTCTATGATGACATAACATCTGCAATTATTGTAGCTTTATGGTTAGTTTTTTTTTTTTTATCTAACAGAGCAAGTCTCCTCATTCTTCCTTTTCAAAATTTTCCTAGTAATTCATGGGCATTTATTCTTCCAAATGAACTTTAAAATCCAATTGCCCAACTCCCAAAGAAAATACCATTGAAATTTTAACATGCATGGAACCTTTTGACTAAGTTGGGATCAAAATGCCATTTTTACCATATTTACTCTACCCATCCAGGAACAGGATATGACTTTGATTCACTCAAGCTTTCTTATAGCCCTCGATGGAATTTTATAGTTTTCTACAGAGAAGTATCTCACATATCTTGTAAATTCCTAGGGATTTTATAGATTTATTTATTTGCTATTGTGAATGGTATTTTTTCTATTATGTGTTCTAATTAGTTACTGTTGGTATTCATGGAAGCTAATAGATTGGGTATATATATATTATATATATACATAAATATCTCGTGTACTTCACTGTTACATTTGATGATTGTCTTTGGTTTCTGATAAAAATTCTTTAGAAAGTTAAGGAAATTTTTATTGATTCCTAGCTTACTGTATTATTTATTGCTATATAACAAATTACCCCAATGCATCAAGAGAATGAATGTATAATTTTATCAGATCACTTTTCAGCATTTATGGAGATGACCATATGATCTTTTCTCTTTATTAGTGTGATAGATTAAAATAACAGATTCCCTAATGTTTTGTTTTGTTTTGAGAAGGAGTCTCACTCTGTCGCCTGGGCTAGAGTGCCGTGGCGTCAGCCTAGCTCACAGCAACCTCAAACTCCTGGGCTCAAGCAATCCTCCTGCCTCAGCCTCCCGAGTAGCTGGGACTACAGGCATGCGCCACCATGCCCAGCTAATTTTTTCTATTTTTGGTAGAGACGGGGTCTCGCTCTTGCTCAGGCTGGTCTTGAACTCCTGAGTTCAAACAATCTGCCCGACCTGGTCTCCAGAGTACTAGGATTACAGGTGTGAGCCACCTCGCCTGGTCAGATTCCCCAATGTTGAACAATCCCTGCACTCCTGGGACAAACTTTCATTTGTTACAGTATATTCTTCTTTTAATACACTGATGGATTTTGTTTGATAATCTGTTATTTAAAATATTTGCTGCTTTTTTAATATGTGAAATTAGGCTATAGTTCTGGTTTTGTTTGTGTGTGTGTATCTAAACCTTTCCAGCTATACTGGCCTTATAGAATGAACTGGGAAGTTGTCCATCTTTTCCTATTATCTTATCTTTCAAGATTCACTAGAACTTCCATTATATCAGGACTTCCAGAATACCAACTGGACTTGCTATTTCTGAGGAGAAAACTTTGACCATCTTTTCTATTTCTTCTATACTTCTCCATTCTATTCAGGTTTTCTGCCCCTCCCTAAGTCATTTTGGTAATTTACATTTTCCTAAAATAACAATCCATTTCATCTAGATTTTCATATTTATTGGTATAAAAGTATACAAAGCATTTTTATAGCTTTCTTTTTCATCTACTAAGAATACATAGTTAAATCTTCTTCCATCATACCTTATTTGATTTATTTATTGTTTTGCCTTTTTCTCAGTCATATTTGCCAGAGAATGGTCTACCTAGTTTGTTGGTCTTTTAAAAAGCCACCTCTTTATATAAAATCTTTTGTTTTCTGTTTCACTAATTTCTGGTTTTATCTATAGTAACTACTTTATTTGTTTGTTTGTTTATTGAGACAGGGTCTCACTCTGTCGTCCCTGCTAGAGTGCACTAGAATCATCATAGCTCACAGCAATCTCAAATTCCCAGACTCAAGGGATCCTCCTGCCTCAGCCTCCTTAGTAGCTGGGACTACAGGCATGCACCACCATGCCCAGCTAATTTTTCTATTTTTCATAGAGACGGGGTCTCACTCTTGCTCAGGCTGATCTTGAACTACTGACCTCAAGCAATCCTCCCACCTCAGCCTCCCAGAGTGCTAGGATTACAGGTGTGAGCCACTGCACCAGGCCTTATAGTAACTACTTTATTCTGCTGTCTTGGGTGTTCTCTTCCTACCTTCTTGAATGGAATAATTAGTTCATTTAATATAAACTGTTTTGTTCTCTAATAAAAACATTTAAGACTATAAATTTTCCTCTGGGAACCCCTATGGCCATATCCATAGGCTTTGGTATGTAGTATTCACATTGACATTTATTCTAAATAGTCCATACATTACATTCCTATTTCCTCTTTAACACAAGTATTTTTAAGTTTTCAAATGGGGGGAGAGCCTAGCCTTTTTGCTGTTGCTGTTAACATTTTCTTTTATTGAATATTAAAATGCCAACAGCATCAAGAGAGAAAATTCCAGATTTCCAGGTGCATCCCTTAAGCGGATTAAATACTCATGTCAAAGGAACACACACCCACATATAAAAAAAGGACCATTAGAGAACATAATAATTTTGAAGATGGAAGATTAAGGAAACAGACATCCTTGTTTCAGTTATTATTTTTTTCAAGATGTCATAAAATCCTGTAGTCATTTCAATCTAATGACTTATTCATGTCTAAAGTTTTCCCCATAAACATAACATATTTGCCAGGACAATACTACAAAATGAATGAAGGGAAAGTTTATTAGACATCTGTAGAAGATCTGTATTCAAAGACTCGGTTGCTTTGTGGTATGTTTATTCCTTTCTCCTGCTAGCTTGCTATAGTTCCTTGTGACAAAAGCATTTTCTTCACAAAAAAAAAAAAAAAAGTGCTCTGAAGCATACTTAACCTCAGAAATTACACCTATTTAAATATGCCCTCCATAAAAAGTATCTATTGCAATAAAAAATATATATAAAATATTCTAATTAACTTGGAAAGTATGGAGAACCTTTGAACCTGGGAACCAGATTGTTCCCTCAGCCTAAATGCCCTTCCCCAGTCTACCCAATTGACCAAGTGTCTTCATCCTTCAAAACAGCTCAAGAGTCACATATTCTAGGACCAACCACTCCCACCTTTTGGAGCAAGTCTCTAGTGAAGGATTGTTTTAAGGAAGGACAAACTACAAATAGATTCTGAATGTCCTCTTTGGTCTCCTGACATGATCTCCCAGGCACTTTCCTCATACACTCAGACACCCATTCCACAGTCACACCAGGGGCTAAGGGAGGTGGGGAAGGGATCTGGCAATGACACTACATATTTGTCTGGAAGGGGAAGGGATTGGGGAAGGAACAGGTCTAGCTCTTACCTGCTGTCTGCCAGCCTGCCTGAGGGGGTAAGCTTCATGGAGTCAAGGACCTGAGTAGGACAGCAATACTGGTGTAGAGTATGAGACGCTGTGGACCTGAGAGACAGCAAGAGACAGAAAGAGAGAGAGAGACAGAAAGAGAGACAGGGAGGGGAGTGGCAGGGTAGGTGATAGGGACAAGGGGGTGAGAGTTAGTTGGGCAGGGGAAAGGAGAAGGCTGGGAAGAATGGAGGACCGGGAGTGGAAGAGGGGCAGTGGGGGAGATAGGGAGAGAGGGAAGATAAGGAGGGAGAGAGGAAAAAAGGGAGGGAGGAGGGGGAGAAAGGGAGGAAGGGAGGAAGGGAGGAAGGAAGGAAGGAAGGAAGGAAGGAAGGAAGGAAGGAAGGAAGGGAGGAAGGAAGGAAGGAAGGAAGGAAGGAAGGAAGGAAGGAAGGAAGGAAGGAAGGAAGGAAGGAAAAAAGAAAAAACCACAAAGTCAAGAAAGAGAGGACGGTACTCGAACTACATACAGAACACAATGACAACAGGGGGCAGTAGAGACGAAAAAGCCGGGCTGGGCCTCTTGTGTTCCAGGTGACTCCACGGGGACCTTGGCTGGCCACGGAGATGCTGGGACACCACAGCAGGGAAGGGGGAAGGGAGCCCTCCTCACACCAGACGCCACAGGGGTAGGGAGAAGGGAATGGGATGAAAGAGAAGGGGAAAAGATGTCCGGGGTGCTCCCCTTATAGAAGACCCCTCATAGGAAGGAAGGGAAGGAAGGAGAGAGGAGAGGTTCAGGGCCCAAAGAGCAGGGAGAACCCAGCTGGGTAGTAGAGGGTAGAACACTGAAGAAGGAGAGGCAGAGAGACAGAGAGAAACTAAAAGAGACAGAAAAGAAGAAAGACAGAGAAAGAAGACAGAGAAAGGGTGAGACAAAAGACACAGAGCGAAGCCAGGGAGAGGCAGAGAGTGCCAGAGCAGAGGATGGGTGAGGGCGGAGGAGGCTGACAAGGTCTCAGTGGTCTTGGTGATAGGATGGGACTCAGGGCTGAGTGGGCAAGGCAGAGGACAGATGGTTCCAAGCAGGAGTCTTTTGCTTCAAGGCCAGTGCCTTTCCCCCTACCCCCACCTCAAGGCAGGGCCAACACTCCACCCCTGGTGCTGTGCCCCTACTCCTAGTGCAGGGTCCAAAGGCCCCTCTGCCTCCTGCTTCCCGTGATTAAAGTCCAGAGAATGGCAAGGAGTAGGAGTACAGACAGCAGGGTGGTGAGGCTGAGGGCCTGGTCCCTGCCCTACTCAGCGCAGTGCAGCTACCAGGGGCACACCAGTTGGCCAGAGCCAGGACAAGCTGAGAGTGGAGCTGGCCCCTACAAGTTAGCCAGCCCTTTTCCCTCACAAGCCCCTGGAGGCAGGCTGTGGTAGGGGCGGCCATTCAAAAGCCCAAGTAAAAGCCAGATGTGGCTGCAGGCCAAGGCCAGCTGCGAATTTGAGAATGTCTAAATCTTGGAACCATACAGAGAATCTTTGAATCTGAGACTCTTCTTATCAGAGGCTCTAGAATAATCGTCTCATCAGAGCGACTGTTTCTCAAAGGCTGTGAATTCGAGGATGCCCAAATCTTAAAATCTTGCAGAGAATCTTTGAATCTGACACTCTTCTTATCAGAGGCTCTGGAATAACCTTCATCATCAGAGTGATTGTTTCTCAAGTGCCATCTGTGTGCCAGTCACCAGCCCAAGCCCTTGACTCATTATCTCATTGAATCTGAGACTCAGAGATCCTTAGGCTGCTGGAACGTTGGTGTCAGAAAATCCCAGCAACTGCGGACTGCGAGCCTGGGGCCCTGCAGCACAGCGCGAGGGCGGCTGCCAGGCTCAGTCCTCACAGGCCACAGACTGTGCTACTCAGGGCTCCAGAGGCCTTACAGAGCAGGGCACCCGGATGCCCACGGGCTCGCCTACTCGAGCCGGCTACCTCCCCCAAGCCAAAGGCCTCCAAGAGTCAAAAAGGGAGCCAGGAACCAGGAAGCCAGGCGGCTGCTGAATCAGCAGCCCCGGGACTGGGTCCAGGCCTGGGCAGGAAGGGAAGGGGCCAGGCTGCAGGGCCTCAGTTCCTACCTGCTGCTCCTCCAGGGGGGCTCCATAGGTCTGGACCTGTCCCAAGGGCAGGCCCCCTGGCCCAGCCAGTGCCTCCACCGTGTCACCACCCCCTCCTCCCCAGCCTTTCCCTAGAAGGAGGAATCAAGGAGGCGGGGCCAGGAAGCAGGCCAGGCTGCAACTGGAAACTTTGCTCCTTCCCCTGCTCCCCCAGGAGGGCTGGGAACTCCGCATAAGAGGAAGTGGCCTGAAGAGCTCAGAGCTGTCAGTCACTCCTTAGGCCCAAACCCCAGGCTGGGCTCCCTGTGGGTGCCTCTGCTGGAACCTCGCCAGGCACCCTGTCAAGTTTGTGTATCTAGCCCTATTCTCCTGAAGAGAAAACTGAGATGGAGACAGATTAAGTAATGCCACTAGTAAGTGACAGAACCCCAAAGTTAGGACATGATTTAGCCATTCTCCAATCCGAAATCTGTCCCCTTGGCTATACTGCTGCCTTGGGCAAACAGAAAACTTTCCACAGAAGCTTATCACAAACATCTTCATTTTCAGCACAGAGACTATGCTTAGGAGTTGTTCTGGGACACTCCATATCCAGTAAAATTCAAATCACCCATTTTGGGCTATCAAGATGGGGCCCTGGCCAATATTCTTTCCCACTGCAATAAACTCTCTTTCCTGTGTTGTTTTTTAGACTGGCCAAGAAAAATGTTCCCTGAAGAGAAAAGGAAAAATCAGAAGAAATGCCACTCACAGTCAAGAGGCTGTTCTTCCAAGAAAATTGCCCAGCCTGATTTTATAGATGGGGAAATTGTGGCCTGGAGAGGAGAAGAGTCTCACTGAAGTTCACACAGCAAGTCAGAGTAGACTCCAGGTGCCTGGCTCTCTGCCTACCCACTACAGTAATCTCTCTGTCCTCCATGTGGGTGGGACTGGAGAAAGGACAGAAGTTGTAGGCTCCTGAAGTGTATGTACCACAGGTCCAGCTCAGAGTGCCCCTGTTCTTTCACAGGCCCCAGAGCCCAGCCCCTAGCTGTTCTGAGCAGAAGGTGGCCCTGGGAGGCGCCAGGGGGCCAGTGATCTAGAAGAAATAGGAGCTGACAGGCAACAGGCCAGCCTTCCTGCCTCCCTGCTGGGGCAGCTGGTTCCTCTCGAGACAGCCAAAACTGCAGAGGGAGAGAGGCCCTCCGGACCACCGCAAGGTTGGCATCTGTGGGCCCTTTGTGGCCTCCTCTCCCTCTGCCCACCCCCTAATGCCCTGGCCCTCAGGGCTTCTGGCCTCAGCCCCTGTTTTTTTTTTTTTTTTTAACGCTCCTTAAACAACTCTCCTAGCTCCTACAGCAGCTTCACTTTGTGCCCATTTGTAGTCATCACCCTAAGAGCTACAGCCTTGGTACACACCTTTCTCTTGGCCTGGCAGGAGTCAAGAGACAGAAATTTTAGTTCTGGCTCTGAGGCTGATGCTGTGTGACCTTAAGCAAGCCCTTTCCTCTCTCTGATGAGGCAAAAACAACCTACACCTTGGTGCCTGGTTGAGCTGAGTACAAGTCCCAGCTCTACTATTTTTTAGGTGGGAAACCACTCTGAGGCTTAGTTTGTTCATCTATAAAAGAGGGGTGGCAGTTCCTACCTCATAGGTTCTTATAAGGATTCAGTGACACAAAGTGTGCATGTGATGAAGAGTCACAGCTTGAGCCTGAAAGAGCCTGACCCTTCTCCCAGGGAGGCAGAGGAGACCTGTGGGAAGCCTGTTTGTTTCAGAGATGGGGAAGGCTTCTAGCAAATTATTCCTTAATCTAGGGCTGCTTTTGGAATTCAGTCATACTTGAGTGTGTTGGGTAGACTCAGGTGATAACCAAGGGAAAGAAAGAAGTAAGGGCGAGCAGCTTGACCCAGCCACAGAAGGCAGTTCCTTCTTTCACTTATTCAACAGATACTGTGGACCAGGCACTGTGCCAGGTGCTGAGTACAGCAGTGACTAAGGGCAGACAATGTCCTGCTCTCATGGAGCTTATGTCCAAGTGAGAGGAAACAGACATTCACCAACTAATGGAATTGTTATTTTTTTTTTTTTTTTTTGAGACAGAGTCTCACTTTGTTGCCCAGGCTAGAGTGAGTGCCGTGGCGTCAGCCTGGCTCACAGCAACCTCAATCTCCGGGGCTCAGCGATCCTTCTGCCTCAGCCTCCCGAGTAGCTGGGACTACAGGCATGCGCCACCATGCCCGGCTAATTTTTTGTATATATATTTTTAGTTGGTCAATTAATTTATTTCTAGCTCAGGCTGGTTTCGAACTCCTGACCTTGAGCAATCCGCCCGCCTCGGCCTCCCAAAGTGCTAGGATTACAGGCGTGAGCCACCGCGCCCGGCCTGTTATTTTTTTTTTTAAGAGAAAGTCTCACTCTGTTTCCCCAGGCTAGAGTGCCGTGGTGTCAGCCTAGCTCACAGCAACCTCAAACTCCTGGGCCCAAGCAATCCTTCTGCCTCAGCCTCCCGAGTAGCTGGGACTACAGGCATGCGCCACAATGCTCGCCTAATTTTTTCTATATATTTTTAGTTGGTCAATTAATTTCTTTCTATTTTTTCTCAGGCTGGTTTCAAACTCCTGACTTCAAACGATCCACCCGCCTTGCCCTCTCAAGAGTGCTAGGATTACAGGTGTGAGCCACTACGCTCACCCCAACTAATGGAATTAAACTGAGCTAAAAGTGGAGGCAGCCAGAGGAGAGTGTTCCAGGCAGAGGAAATAACCTGGGCAAAGGATCTGAGGTGGTATTTCCAGCAAGTGCAAAGAAGCCAACGTGGCAGAGTGGGAAAAGCACAAAGGAGAGAGGTGAGATTGCAGATGTCAGCAGGGGCCTAACCATGCAGAGCCTTGGAGGCCACAGTAAGGGTTTCCATATTTATCTGAGAGCAATTTGGAAGCCTATGGTTTGTGGACAGGCATGGCGGGGGCAGTGGGGAGGAGGGGCAGAATCTCTGAAGCTACTGAAGTTGTATGAAAAATATTAATTTCTGAGGAAGGTATCTCTAGCTTTCATCAGATCCGCAAATGGGTTTGTGATCCCAAAAGGGCAGGAAATCTTATATGATTCCATTCACTAAGTTCCTATGATGAGCTAGTGGCTGCCATCCCAGAACCTTCTATGAGCTAACCCCTACTCCCCACCTCCAGCTAGTCTTAGTCTTTCTCCATCTTCAACCTGTGCCCCAACCAGATGGAAGCCCTTGTAATTCTCGGCTATGCTCTGCCGCTCCATGCCTCACCTTCACCTGTGCTGTCCTGCATCTCCACTGCCACCTTCCCATCTGACTAGCTCCCTTCTGTTCTTCAAAAGTCAGCTAGAGAGGAAGATGGCGGCGGGGGCGAGCAGGAACTTCTGGGCCTAGATTGTTCGAAATACTCACCTGAGTTTGCAAATAGTAATGACAAAGATGATCAAGTTTTAAGTTGCCATTCAGCAGTCAAGGTGCTGTCCCCAGAAGATGGAAAAGCAGATATTGTGAGAGCTGCTCAGGACTTTTGCCAGTTAGTCGCCCAGCAGCAAAAGAGACACACAGATTTGGATGTAGCTATGTTAGACAGTTTACTTAGTTCAAATGGTTTCCCTGATCCTGATTTAGTATTGAAGTTTGGTCCTGTGGACAGCACATTAGGCTTTCTTCCCTGGCACATCAGATTGACTGAGATTATCTCTTTGCCTTCCCACCTAAACATCAGTTATGAGGACTTTTTCTCTGCCCTTCGTCGGTATGCAGCCTGTGAGCAACGTGTGGGAAAGTAGTGATCCTTGGTCGTGTAATTCAATTTAGGCTTTTCGAGAAAAGGACCCAAGTGACTCTGATGTTTACAAAGCACCTATGAAGCCCTGTATACACCTAGTTCATAATCCTCATAATTTATCGACAAACACAAAAAAGTGTCTTACTTGAGAGTGAGTGTGTGTGCGCTTGTGTGTGTGCATGTGTGTGTGTATGGAAATAAACATATTAATGGGGAAGTATTGGAGAAGGAAATATAAAGACGTACAACCTTGAGCAAATAGCATTATTTTAGGAGTTGACATTTCAGATTTAAAGTCTTCAGTCCCAACTACTTCCCTGTTTTTGTGGGGAGAAGGAGGGCTGATTAGAGCTGTTCTGGTTGTTGGAGGAGGGGAATGATTTTTGTTCGGTCCTTCCTAGTAACCAAATTTTAATTTTTAAGAACAATATATTGACTTATTAAATGGAAGAATTCTGAGTTTGAGGGAGCTCCAGAGGAATGGAGTTCTGTGTTGGTCATATGTTAAGAGCTTGATCACTTTCGGAGCAGAGGGAATACCTGTCTTCAGATATCCGTCCATTTTCATCTCTTCATTATAGTCAAATAATTGACTTGAGAGTATTGCTCTGGTGTCAGTGTTCTGGGTTGTGAAGATCATTTGAAAAAGAATTCTTACTACATTGAAATGCAGAATTTTAGAAATTTAAATATTGGATAGTCAAAAAAAAATGAGTAAGTTGTAAGGTTAAAAGTAAAGCTGGAAAATTTCTTATGAAAAAAAAAAAAAAAGTCAGCTAGACGTTGTGCCCTCTGGGAACCTGCCCCGACTCCATCCAGGCAGGTACCGTGTTTCCCCGAAAATAAGACCTACCCATAAAATAAGCCCTAGCAGGATTTCTAAGCATTTGCGCAATATAAGCCCTACCCAGAAAATAAGACCTAGTGATGGGCGTGGCTACGCAAGGTACCTACATAGCCACGCCCACAACCCATGCATGGGGGGGGAGGTAAGGAGACGAGCAGCCCTTCTCATCAGCCCCATGGGAGCTCTATTGCTCAACATGAGAAATTGGGGCCAATGGTTCTAAAGGAAATAGAGTCGCAAGAAATTCAGGATGGAATTTGGGGTTTGGAGAGTTATAATGTGTTCCAGAAGAAGATGACTTAACTATATTTGAATCAATGTAGATTGTTGTACCGTACTTAAAAAACATAACACATCACCTGAAAATAAGCCCTAGGGTGTCTTCTTGAGGAAAAATAAATATAAGACCCTGTCTTATTTTGGGGGAAACGCAGTAGGATCACCTCCTTTGTGTCCTTCCACCCTCTCTTCTCTCAGTCAGCTTCTCTCGACACTGTCTTTTCAAATGCCTGTTGCCATCTTGGACAGGAGCTCTGTGAGGGCAGGAGCCAAGTCTTGTTCCTCCCAGTGTCCCCAGCACCCAGCACCCAGCACAGGGCACCTGTTCACGTATGTTTGTGGGAGACAATGCACACAGAAAGAGGCTGCAAGATGGGCCTGTGGACACTAGAGGGCACTGTGGCCATTAGAATCCTGCATCAGGCCAACCCTGGAGGCGCTCTGGGGCCAGGCACACAAATGGAGCCCAGAAAGCATAGAAACTGTTGCTAGGTCCTGCAGTTCCTCAGCTCAGGACCTAACTGACAGGGCCCCAGTTCCAGCTCCCCAATATACCTTCTGCCCTTTTTCCAGACCAGGCCATTTCTCATGACAGCCCCATCTCACTGAAGATTCAGCTTTAGTTCTTCACAAATTCAGGCGCCAAACACCCCACCACCACCACCAGCTCTGGCCTGCAACACTCTCCACTTCACCTTGCCCCACCCCACCCCTGCCCTGGCTCATGTTCCATGTCTTAGCTTAGATGTCAGCTTGGAGAAGCCTCCCTGATCCTCAGGCTGAGTTAGGTATACTTCTGCCATGCTCCCAGAGCACCCTACACTTCACCTATAATTGTCTGTAGTTGTCTGTTCCCTTGTTTGTTTCTCAGCAAGACAGCGTACTTCAACAGAGCAAGGCCCATCACTCTATTATTCACTACCGTATCAACTGCATTTAGTAGCATCTGGCACATTGTAGGTATTCAATAAATTGTCCTGGAATGAAAGAATAAATGAATGAATGGATGGATGGATGACTTTAGGCAAGTCACTATACCTTTCTAGGTTTCACTTTCCCCGCCTGTAAATCACCCCATCTTAGCAGGATGGCCACAAGGATTAAAGACAATGCATGTCAATTGCTCTGTAGCAGTACCTGATATACAGTACATTTTCTGAATTGAAGCAATTATTAGTATTGGGAGCAGCAAAAAAAGTAAAGGGATGAGTTGAAGGAGACTGCCCCAACCCTGGGATAATCTCTCCCACTTAGGCTTACCATTTATAAATGGAAGATGGCTTTAACAGTAATAATAAAACTGTCACTTTTTAATTTAAAAAATAGCAACAGTATGTACTATGTGCCGGGCCAGAAACAGGAGGCCCCGGAGGAGGTGGTAGGAAGCCTCCAGTCTCAGCCAGAGGATGTGAGGCCAGGATCAAGGTCAGAGCTGTAGGCATCACCCCTGCGTCTAGAGAACAGTCATTACTGGCACAGCTGGCTCCAAACTCTTTACTCATAGGTTGAAAACTTGTCTAAGGGGATCATTAATTCCCTCTGTAATTAATGTAAAAACTGCAGGGTTTACATTAATGGAAAAATAAGCTCAAGCATCAAGCTGATAATATTGATAATGTGTACTTACAATTATATACTGCAAATAACTATAAATCCAGTCACTGAACTAATAAAATATAAAAATTCCTGAAGCAACCAAGAACTTGGTAGCAGCTGCACCATAAGTAGCATTATACCAGTTGTTCTGAGGCTATGAAAATCACCACAAGCTGGTAGCAATGCTGTACATTTGTATTCACGGTACATTTAAAAACTGTTTTGGCATCAAATAAGGGGGCACTTTTAGATACCCAACATGTTTTGACACAAAAACATAGTGAGCAAAGGTCATCTTGCTATAAACTACAGAGCTAAACCTTGATGGACAGACAATCTTACAATCATGGGTCTCCAAGTGGACTAACACCCCCAGGCTCTGACCTCACTTGTGTACACATAAAAGCTGCATTCATTGTAGAAGAAATGGCAAGTTCAAGTATTTTGCCTATCTACTCCCATCCACTTCTAAGGTACTGGAATCCCACCTACAGGCCTTTATTGCTTTGTGTTGCCACAGG